CCTACTACTAAAATGGAAATAAAAGGTAATAATACTTAAAAAGGAATGTTTATTTACATAAAGAGAATCAATTTTCCATGTCACAAATTCAGAATTTGTGACATACTCCACATCCTGAATTTGGGTCTCGAGTAAGTCGTTTGCCGAATCGATTAAATGATCAATTTCTGAACCCCTTATAGATTGAGCTTCCTCTAATAACTTGCAAAAATCTTCATTATACATACGGAATAAGATGGATGGAGTAATGTACCGGGACGTCAAGAGATTACTTAAACCTCGAATAGAGTATAATTGATAAGTGCGATAGGTGGTTTTCCATACTTCATAATGTTTTCATGGAGGCTTCGTTTCGGCGTAAATCGTTGAGGTATAAAGATAATCTCGATCGAATTTTTTGGGCATCACTTAGACCTGAGGTTATAGAGATATCTAGTTCATTCTTTTCAATTTCGATGCCATATTCGACGTGGTGTTGATCAATGATTAAGCTTCCAGGAAGGTCAGCTGATCTCATTTGCTTTTGTAAAAGAATAATAGTCTTCTTAATATTCTCAGGAAGAGTAGGGAATTCCATATTGAATTAAAGGGCGATGAGACGCCGCGATGGGTCTTTTTATCTAATTTTTGTATTCAATGGTGACTAGTTGAGCACCTGAACAGGAATGATATAACTTCAACCTGTTTCCATGAATTGCTTTTTTAAGAACTTCACTCCCGGTGATAGCTCTTAGCTTATAAGTTCCATTTCCTAAAACATTGTGAATGTAGTAAGAGCCGCTACATTGAACTTCAAGTTTAGCACTTTTAGAGTGTTGAATTTCAGACCGTTGGAGTAGTACTTGATCGCCAATTTCATAGGATTCTAATCTATGATTATTATCATGGTATAGTTTTTGATAAGCTTGAACTCGCTTTATTTTCTTTTTCGCCATTATACGGGATTCGGCCAAGGGACCTAGTACTGTTCCAATTCATCGTAATATTTGTTGTTGTAGTTCTTCTTCTGTAACCGGTTTATCAAACGAAACGCGTTTGTGAACTTCCAAAGGGGTTAAAGCTTCCCTTCCATAAATTAAATAAAAAGGTTCGTATTGAGTAGTATGATGCTTAGTAGCTCTATAAGCGAAAAGGGCTGGCGCTATCAAATCATCCCATTCTTCATTGAATTGATTTACGCATTTACAAAGAATGGCACATAAGGTTTTATTGAACCTTTCAACTAAGCCGTTAGTTTGTGGATGGTAAGTGGTCGATGTAGTTCGATTAACGTTTAACTTAGTACATAGGGCTTTTACTACTTTGTTGCAAAAATGAGTGCCTTGATCAGATAGAAGCTGCCGGGGAGCACCGTGTCTACATATTATGTCGTCAAAGAGGAAATTCACTACTGATTCGGCATCACATGTACTCAAAGCTCTAGCTTCGGGCCACTTAGTAAGATATTCTGTGGCAACAACTATGTACTTGTTTCCTTTAGAAGTCTTAGGGAGAGGACCCACAATATCAATTCCGACTTTATCAAACGGTTTACCGATAGCGATAGGATGCAAAGGTTCTCGAGTTAAGGGTTTAGACTTTGCTGGCAAATATCACACGTTCGAATGTATAGTTTAATATCATTGCTCATCTGAGGCCAAAAGTATCGGGCCGCAATTCGTTGATAGGTCGATTGGAAATTAAAATGTCCTGCTAAAGGATCATCGTGCATACTAAATAGTATGGCTTTGACTTCATCAACCTTGATTACTCGCAAGGGACGAAAGGGGTTTCGCAAATTCCGTTTGAACAACAGGTCATCTTGAACAAAGAAATTCCGGGTCTTATATTTAAGATCCCTTATTTGCTTATCGCTATAATTAAAGGGCACCATGGCATCGTTGAGAAATCGTACGAATAGATAATAAGTTTCTAGATCCATGAGGATAAATTAGTTTGTAGTTTTTAAATTGAATACGTGTTTTTTTTTTTTTTTTATTATTATGCCAGGACACCATAACCTGGACTGGATTAACGGATTTATGGTTTACTAAAAATTTCTATGATTACTTTTGCCCCTTTTTTTTTTTTTTTTTTTTTCTAAGAAAGTTATCAAATTCGAGATAACGGATCTACATTAGTGTGGTGCTTGCCAGATTTGTAGTTGATGTCAAAGTTATATTCAGTTAAAGTCATGACCCATCGTGCTAATCGGCCCCGAGGTTCGTTCAAGGATAATAAATATTTCAAAGCTATATGATTCGTTACTAAGGTAAAGAAAGTACCGTGAAGGTATTGCCTAAAATATCTGACAGCCCAAACAGCCGCCAAACATTCCTTTTCTGTGGTGGTATAATTTTTTTCTGCCGACGAAAGACCTCGACTGGCATATGAAATTACCTGTTCATGACTGGTATCGTCCTTTTGAGATAAAATTGCACCTAGTGCTACATCCGATGCATCTGTAAATAGGATAAAGGGTTTATCGAAATTAGGGTAAGCTAAAAGGGGCGCTTGGATCAACTTTAATTTCAATAATTCGAAAGCTCTTTGTTCACGTGACGTCCATCTGTAGGATATTCCTTTTTTCAATAGAGTATTCAAAGGGGCCGCTATCTGAGTGAATTCGGGAACAAATTTTCGATAATACAAAGCAAGACCAAGGAACCCTCGCAACTGTCGTAAATTCTTAGGGATAGGGAAATGTTTTACAGCCGCTACTTTCTTAGGATCAGTGTCAATACCCCTATAACTTACAATATGCCCTAATACCTTCACTTCCGACTGATAAAAGAAACATTTTGTAGGCTTTAATTTCAAGCCAGCAAACTCTAACCTATGAAAAACCTCAGTCACGTGGTCGAGTAAACGATGATGTCATCAATATAAATGATGACGAATTGGTCAATAAGGTCTCGAAATATAGTATCCATCAGTCGCTAGAACATTGCTGGAGCATTAGTAAGGCCGAAGGGCATTACGTTAAATTCGAATAACCCAAAGGGGGTGGTGAATGCAGTTTTTTGTTTATCCTGAGGATCCATTTCTACTTGCCAGTATCCGCTGGCAAGATCCAACGAACTAAAATAATGGGTGCCATTTAATGAATCGAGTAAATCTTGGATACGAGGAAGTGGATAACTATCCTTAATTGTTACTGAATTTAATTTGCGATAATCGACACAGAATCTAACTTTGTCTTCTCTTTTGACTAAAACTACTGGAGACGTCCATGGGCTTTCTGAAATTTGTATAATGCCTTCAATTAGCATTCGAACAATCTCATCTTTCATGAATTCACGCTCCTTTGGAGTATGACTGTATGACCTTAATTTAATAGCAGAGGCGTCACCTGTATTTACTTTATGCTTAACCACGTTGGTACGACCTAATTCCTTAGATTCCCAGGCAAAACTTGAACGATGGTTTTGCAAAAAATTTTCAAATTGATCTTGAAAATTTTGCGGTAATTTACCAACGCGATTTGCAATATCAGGAATTTTCCCCTCATAATAAAAATCAAGTAAATCGATGATAGGTCCATCACCTTCTCCTAATAAGTAAGTTGTTGACAAGGTCATCGCACGACGGGGTCCTGCAGTTATATAATGTTTTAGTGTATGCACTGTTAAAATAACTAAATGCATAACTAAGGGTAAGTTCATCCGAATCTTGTGGTAATGGTGGAAGAGAACTAGTCAGGATTTCATCGCAGTTCTCATCTGTCTCCTCGTCGGAAGTAAGAGAAATCAGATCGGTACTAGAAGAAGAAAGAGACGACTGTTCATCCTTAAACCAATATTCGTCCTCCGAGTCCCAACTCATCGAGGGTTCTTCATATAGTTCAGGATCACGTGACATAGCTAATGACGGTAAGCGTAAGAAATCATTAAAACTCGAAACTCTATAGATTCGATCCTCAAGTTCTTCATCGTCGAACTCATCTTCATTAGTGAGGGTCCCGGCTGTCATAATTTCATCTTCATCTTCGTATAACTCCCTAGTTTTAATAGGTCTGTTTTTTTCTAGGGGTTCACGAGTTATCTGACGGAACTCAACGGGGACGACTATTTCTTTGTCTTCCCACTCAAACAACATTTCTGCGGCAGTCCAATCAATTCGGGCCTTGACCTTGAATAACCAATCATTATCAACTATAGCCTGATAAGACATAGCGTCAGTTACAACAACATCAATAGGAACTTTAACGCCTCCTACTTCAAAAGGAAAGGCCGATATTTCCCCCAACGCTCGTTTACTTTCTCCGTGGACATTGATCATATTGACCGTGGAAGGTCTTTCGATTTTTATTCCTAAATCCCTTAAAAAATGCGACGACATGACACTCCTGGATGATCCACTATCAACAATAAGCGGAAAAGTTTTATCCACTACCTTAGCATCACAATATAAAGCCGTTGCCTTTATTTTCGGTATAATGCTAATATTATTTTTCAACTTCCTTTTAGGGGTACCCTTTTTCGTTTCAAACTTTTTTCTAACTCAGCTCGCAACGACAAAGCAATTCGAATAAGCTGCCCAAAAGTAATATTGGCTGGGTTGTCTCTAATATCAGCCACTATGTTATAAGGGGGTACAAGCGCTGCAATCTGGGGAAGTTCTTCTTCAACAAGTTTTTTCCGTGGACCCAAACGACGCTTTAACTTATTTCTTTTTGTAAGTTTTTCTTTAGGTACTGGCTTTTCCTTGATATCTTCTGATTTTCTAGGAACTTCGGATTCCTTAGATGGCTCTTCAAGACGTTCTTTAGAAGGCTCTGGATTTTCATTTTCCAATAAGTCTTCCAAGTTAGCTTCATCCATGGACACATCTTCTTGAACTTGATTATCCTCATTTTTAGGTTCTTCAACTGAACCGTCGGGTTCAATTGAATCTCCCTTTCTTTTCTTAAAAGGTGCATTTAAAGAAGGCTTCTTACGTCCACGCCTTTCGGCCGGAAGAAATAATGACAAATCTTCTTCTCGGAAACTTAGATAGGTGGGTTGATCACGTGCTTCTTCCTCTTTTTTATTATCTAACAAAGAGAGAAGAGCTTGGAACGTTTCCTTATTAACAACAACATTTTCATCCTGGTCCGTCACAACGGTATTCACATTCTTTATATTTTCTTGACATATCTGACTAATGTGTCCAGGTTTACCACACTTGAAACAAACCGTTTTGGCTAAAAACTCTTTAGAATACTCTCGAGGGGGCCTTTTCTTTTCTTGTAGTTGCATAGTCATTTTATTCACCGCCTCTACTAATTTTTCAATTACAGCCTCAGATCCTATAACAGAAGTCGATGCCGCCGGTATCACCGAAGGTTGTAGATACACAGAATGTGGATATCCATTATTTACTTGAGGATGCACCAGAGGCATATATAGAGTAGAAGTCTTAGTTAGGGCATTTTCAAAGGCCTTAGCCCTTTCAAAGGCTGCTTGAAGCGTATTAGAAAGAAAAGGAGACACGGCCGCAAATAATTCTGGTCATAATCCATTCATGAACATCTGCGCTTTAGCCGTGTTCGGATATTGTAACCCCCAGCCTCTACTCGACGAATTAATTGTTCAATAGCAATATAATAAGAGTCAACTGATTCATCATATCTTTGTTTCCTTTGGGTTAAATCAGAGAACCATTTACTTTCCAAAGCAGGTGTTCGAAATTGATTAACGAATGTAGGCTTAAAACTATTTTGGGGGTGTGCATTATCATCCCAACGATCAATTACAGGAATTTGATTACGACGAATCATCCACCAGATGGCTGCAGGACCCTTTAAGTGTGGTACAATGACAGGAATCTTACGTCCATCTTGTACTTGGTTTGCCTCAAAAGCAATTTCGACTTCTTCCAACCAAGAAATAGGATCCTGATCACCTCCCGAAAAGCTGGGATACTCTACTTGCTTTAACTCGGGTTGAGGAGGTGCTATATTAACTTGTGGAGCAGGCGCCGCTTGTAACTGCTGGACAAGTTGGGCTATTTGGTTTGCCAAATTTGTTAACGGGGCAGGTGGAGCTTGATTTTGATTAGCCATTCCAAGTTTTTAACTACTTTTACGATGTTATAAAACTATAATAAAATAACAAAAACTTATGGGACGTCTAAATAATTATAAAAGACAATGAGGTAACTATTTATGAGGTGTCGTGATATTCCACACAATCGGCACCAAATGTAACGATTATTTCGGGAGAGAACTAAGTTGTACCGATTTAAGCTCTAATAGTTACGGAAAGATAGGGTATCGGAGATAATACTTTGAGCGCGTAAGGTATTAAAAACGGTTAGGGAGTAGGGGAATATTTTAATCATAAAGTAGAAAGCGACAAGGTTGAACCGTATAAATTTAAAATCACGTGAGCAAGATGATAATAAAAGATTTTCGAATTTACACAATAAAGGGCTTTTCAGCACTCCTTAGCTTACTTCCTTTATTTATTAAAAGGCAAATTCGAAGAGAATCTCTTTTTATTAAATTCAAAAGGCTGCGTTTATATACGTTTTGACTAATATCTTACACAGTAATGTGTTTTCTAGCACTTCACAGTGCTATTTAACACATCGATGTGTTAATAGTTTATAACTTTCTAAGCCCAACACCCCAGCGTGTTAACGTGAACCTTCGATACTATAAAAATTTTACCCCTTAACACGCATATGTGCTAACACGTTAGCGTGTTAGGTACTTTATACCAAAAATAGTCGACCATATGTTATCATCGGGGTATTTACGAATTTCATCTGAAATTCGCCTATCCTACTACTAAAATGGAAATAAAAGGTAATAATACTTAAAAAGGAATGTTTATTTACATAAAGAGAATCAATTTTCCCATGTCACAAATTCAGAATTTGTGACAATACTAAATGATTTACTAATACCGCTGGGGTGTTACATACTAAACGCAGCACAATATGATTGTCGCAGGAGATCTGACTGTTATATAAATTAACATTTCTAAATAATTCCTTATCATTTACACTTAGTTAATCTTTTTAAGAGTTTCATCGACCTTTCGTGACTCTTCATCTTTATTAGCAAAAATATAGATCTTCCATACATTCATCATATTCCTTGCATATTTACTTTTAACTTCTTTTGCATTAATATATTTTTTTAATTTTTTGATATTTGTTAACACTTTTCAAAACGTTTAAATACGACATAATATCCTTTTTCTTCATCACTTCATATATTTCTTCAATGGCAAATGTTCCGCAACTTTTACCGATTTGACAAATTTCTTTATTACAATCTGTGTTCTCGTAAATTCGATAAATTTATTTAGTTATAATTTCGCCTATGAGACAATTATGTAAAACATATGGGCGGATTTTTTTTTTCATACTTTTCAAAACGATCTAATTCTGGCCAATTCTGCAGATCATTTGGCCTTGGTTTATCAGTTTTAAAACTGATAAACCAAGGCCAAATGATCTGCAGATTTGACCAGAGTTAGATCATTTTGAAAAGTATGACTAAAAAGTCCGCTCACATGAATAAAGGTTAAGGTTTTTCGGCAGTAATTTCGATTACAGTATCTATAGTTATGATAAATAAACGCTAAGGGAGACGATATAGTAATTTAATATAGTAATTAATTAATACGTATAATATCATACTGCTCTTTTAATAATTGTGGCGGCTTATGCTAGATCGGCTTGTGCTGAGATTCAGGGTCCCTATTTAAATTATTTAAATCTAATATCTCCTAAAATAATACTAACCCTAAACCCTAATCTAACTGAAGAAAAAAGGCTACAAAGAAAACCCCCAAAATTTTATAATTTTATAATAAAATTGGTCAAATTATCAGCATAAGCTGCCACAATTATTTATAAATAAGTTGTAACGATCACAGCATCCAGATATCACGATAAAAAGTTTTGATCTACCACTTTGGAAATGAGTCAATGCACACTCATGCGCATGATTCCAAAACATGCGTATCAGAAATGGAATGATACTGTGTAACATGTATGAAAATAAATTGGACCTGCATTTTGCTGACAATAATTCGCCTAAGATAAAATCCGTTTGTCTAGATAAAAATTCTGGACGTAATGGAAGAGACTACTTTGTTCAATGGTCTTGTTTTACCAACCGCGTGGAATATCGATGATAAATCACAGTTTGTTAGCATAGATTCAAGTGGGCTTAAAGTAAATTATACGGGTAAGATGCGTAATAGATTTTAATAAGAGAAATTCCTCAGAAATATATTATATTGTTATATAGCTAAAAAAAAATTATTTTAAAGATCCTAATGATTATAAAACCATTGTAATTCGAGCCAATAATCCAATTCCTTCACAATGCGGATTATTTTACTTTGAAATTGAAATTATAAATGAAGGAAAAAATGGGTAATAATAAATAATTAGTTCATGTATTATATCGTTATTATTATAAATTTTTATAATAATTTTAATTTTATTTATTAATAGAATCATTGGAGTAGGATACTGTACGAACAAAGTAATATAAGCGATTTCATGCCTGGTAATAACGGACTATTTTTTAATTAATTTTTATAATTACATATTAACGATATGTCATAATATCTCTTAGGAAGGATTTATGTGGAGGATAACGAAAATAAGGAAAATAAATCATGGGGGTGTGTTTACCATGGCGACGATGGATATTTTTTTTGTTCCGGAAGTGGCAAGCCATATGGACCGAAATATACTGTTGGTGATACAATTGGATGTTATTTGAATTTTAGAAATGACGATAAGATGATATTTTATACTAAAAATGGTATAAATCTAGGTAAATTCAAATCATTTTGGATACATATCATTATTCTTAATAATTTTAAATTAATTAATAAGGGTGTGATATTTCATTATATTTTAAGGAATTGTATGTTATCTTCCTAATGATTTAGATAATTTAAAAAATAATTTGTATCCTTGCATTGGACTAAGATCACAAGACGCGTCTGTCGAGGCGAATTTTGGACATAAAAAGTTTAAATATTTAAGTAAATTTTATTTAACATTAAATTTTGGTGCATAATTAAAGTTTTCAATAACAATAATGTCTATTTATGGATAGCAATGACTAACGATGATATTGGTAAAGAGTTATGGGAAGCATGCTGGATCAATTCTAAAACCTTTGATCAATACGTAGACGAATTAAAAAATAAACCAAATGATACATTTGCACTAATATCTCGAGGAAAAGCTTCCTTAATTATAGGCAGATACAGAGATGCATGTGAAGATTTAACTGTATCAATTAGATCGTCAATAGAAGAGAGAGAAGAAGACTTGATTGGCTTAAGTAGATTGCTAACAGAAGAGAAAGAAGATTTAACTGATTTAATTAGATCACGAATAAAAAAGGAAAATTTAGCTGGTTTAATTAGATTGCTAATAAAAGAGTATAATGATGATAATGAGAAAGGGGAAGAAGAGGATGAGGAATATGACGAGAATGAGGAAGAAGAGGAGGATGAGGAATGGGACAAGGATGAAGAAGAAGAAGAGGATGAGGAATGGGACGAGGATGAGGAAGACGATGATGAGAAAAGGGAAGAAGAGGAAGAAAATGATGATAATGAGGATAATAAGAAAAAAGATTTAATTAATAGCTTAATTAGATGGCGAATCAAAAAGGAAGTTTTGGGGTTAATTAGGTTGACAATAAAAGAGGATTATGAGGAGAAGAAAGAGGAAATGATAAAATTGGAAAAATCAATTACTAACTTAATAAAATTAAAGAAATTATTAGAAATAGCACTAAAATATCGTGGAGAA